TCTTCCTGTCCGCAGAACCCCCCTCAAAATGCTCTACTCTGTAGCTGCACTCTGGCCATCTGTCTTTGGGGAAGAGAGGCCTTCTCTGCCTGTCTCTAGTTCCACCCAAAAGCAGGAGAGAAATGCTTGCCTGGGGGCAGCCCTTGCCCACCCCAACCCCCCAGTGACCACGGAGCCCCGCTGGACAGCTAACCAAAGATGTTTCCCCCCCAGAAGGATTTGGGCAAAGAGACCAGGGTGGGTCAAGGCCTCAGGGATAGGATGGCAGAGTTCTCCATGAGGACCGTGGGAGAAATGAGTTTTTGGGGGTGTTGAGTGGTTTATGGGTCACACACTTACCAAAAAAAACAGCAAGTGGGCCTGGTTTTTGCAGGAAAAGCAACGTAGTTCTGAGCACCTTAGAAGCTACCATGTAAATTATTGTGTAAGCCTATAAATCAGGGGAATGCGACCTTGGGAACTTTGAGACCTGTGGACTTCAACTCCCAGAATTCCCCAGGGGATTAATCCATCATAGCTATTTTACACAATTAATGCAGCAAACCCTTTGGCTTTAACTCTCTCCTGCATTTTCGTATTTAATGACTACAGGCCTCAGAGGTTAAGGTTTGTTATTATAGTTAGGCCATGATGTGTTTTGCACGTGTGCGACTGACCGATCGGATGCCAAGTTGTGATTTTAATAACAGATTTTACCTGTTATTTATTATTGTATTCTAGAAATTTAAACTGGATATTCCTCGAGTGTTTTTAACTTGCTCTGATCTTCTGGTCTTTGACTGTAATAAACCTTGACTTGACTTGTAACTCTATAGCTCAGGGAAACGTACGCCTTTCAATAAAAGTTATTAACTCCCTTGCTGGCTGGGGAATTCTGGGAGTTGAAGTCCATAGGTCTCAAAAGTTCCCAAGGTTGGACTAACCTTCTGTAAGTGATTCTAAATCTCCTCCCCTTTTTAAATGTAAATTTTAATTTGTTTTAAATTATGGGGTATTTTAAATTCAGCCAAATTATTTAATTTGTTTTTAATCCATTTTAAATTTTTGTATTTATGTGTTTTATCTTGTGGCTGTTCACCGCCCTGAGTCCTTCGGGAGAAGGGCGGTATAGAAATTTAATAAAATAAAAATAAAATAAAATAAATAAATTCAGAGTCAGGCAGATTTAGGAAGTGCTCTCTTTCTCTCTGTCTCTCTGTCTTTTTTTTTGGTCTGTGTGACAAATTTGCAGAATGCATCACACATCCTGTGAAGAACATGGCGCAATGGGAAGACGTCACTCCCTGCCCTCCGGCCCTGAATCTTAGCAGCCTACCAGCACACATTTCCTGGGAGGAAGCACGGAGCTTCTGTAACAATCTCGGAAAGAAGCTCTTTTGTGTGTTTTGCAGGACCTCCTGTCAAAATTCTTTCCCACTGACAGCGGAGGCAGCTTAGACGCCTTTTATCCGAGGGCTGAAAGTGTTAACTGGTGCATGCAGAGCTGGCCTCTAGCAAAACCCTTGTGTAAAAGCAGTTAAGCTTCAGAGAGAATGACTGAGTAACGTCTTAGTAGCACTCAGTGTAGGCCCTACTTTTTTCCTGGACGTCTTCCAGCCAACCAGTGAAATAATTTGAGCGTTGCTAGCAAGATGCCACTTCAGGTTTACTTTGCTGCTGTCTTTCTATGTAGTAATCGATTGAGTCTACATTTACGTAATGCATTTCATTTTGGGGAGAAACCCCTGCAAGAGTTAGTTCATTCCAACGACTCCCTGACTGTACGCCTTGCCAATTTTTTTTTTTTCCTATTTTGACTGAAGAAGTTACTTGGATGAGTAACGGAACGTCTCAGTTTAATAAACTTTGTTCCAGTTCCCATGATTTCATCTTTTTTACATGCTTTTGGCCTGGATGATTGTATCTACATTTCCATATTGCTGCTATCTTCCTCAAAGTTGTTCTAATTGGGTGTTAATTGGGATTGTGAAAACTGCATATGGAAAAAAAAAACACCCTTAAAAAAAAAAAATCAGCTCACCCTTCTTTGCCGTGTTCTGGATTTGGGGCGAGCTGTTTTAATTACCCCTGAAATTTGACAGGGTGGAAATCAGGAGGGCAAGCGAGGCCACCTCCAGCTTTCCAGCTGTGACTTCTTCTGGGCAGTCGCTGTGTGGGTTTCTCACAATGCTCTTGAGGCTGCCGGCCATGCTCGTTTCCCTGATTCCCGAGCTCCGTTCTCAAAATGGCTGCTGGCTTCCCTGCCTCCCGCATTGTTAATGTGGCTGATTCTAAACAGGAGGAGCAGCTTTGGGGTCTGGCAGGCAAGTGGGGGGGATTGTTGCTTCCAGCCACATCCCCAGCTGGTTCTCAGGGACTCACAACAGTGAGCGTGAAGTTTGCTTTGTAGTCCGGCCTTGGTAGATGTGTGGCCTTTCGCCTAAGAGACAAAAGCAGCTGAAATCCTGAGTATAGGAAGTCAGTCAATCAGAATAGAGCTGGAAGGGACTTCGGAGGTCTTCTAGTCCAACCCCCTGCTGAAGTGGGAAACCCTAGGCCTAGACCACTTCAGACAGGTGACTGTCCAGTCTCCTCTTAAAAACCTCCAGTGATGGAGCCCCCACAACTTCTGGAGGCAAGTTGTTCCAGTGAGGTTGATTGTCCTCCCTGTCAGGAAGTTTCTCCTTCATTCCAGGTTGCTTCTCTCCTTGGTTCGTTTCCATCCATTGTTTCAGAATCAGAATAGAGCCAGAAGAGACCTTGGAGGTCTTCTATTCCAGCCCCCTGCTCTGGCAAGAGACCCTAGACCATTTCAGACAACTGGCTGTCTAGTCTCTTCTTAAAAACCTCCAGTGATGGAGCGCCCACGATTTCTGGTGGCCAGCTGTTCCACTGGTTAATTGTCCTCACTGTCAGGAAGTTTCTCCTTAATTTCAGGTAGCTTCTCTCCTTGATGATTTTCCATCCGTTGTTTCTTGTCCTGCCTGCAGGTGCTTTGGAGAACAGGTTGACCCCCAACTCCTTTTTTGGGCAGCCCCTCAAATACTGGACTGCTGCTCTCATGTCCCCCCCAGTCCTTCTCTTCTCTAGACTGGCCAAACCCAAATCCTGCCACCGTTCTTCACCTATTTTATTCTCCAGGCCTTTAGTCATTTTTGTTGCTCTTCTTTGCACTTTTTCCAAAGTCTCAACATCTTTTTTGCAACGTGGTGACTTACGACCAAAATTGAGCCCAAAATTTATGTTGCTAACTGAGAAATTTTGTAAGTTATGCTTTGCCCCATTTTACGACCGTTCTTGGCATAGTTGTTAAGTGGATCACAACTGGCTTCCCCTTTTACTTTGCTCATCAGAAGGTCACAAAATGGGATCACATGACCCCGGGACACTGCGACAGTCATAACTGTGAGTTATCTGCCGAGCATCCAAATGCAAATCACGTGACCATGGGGGATGCTGCAACGGTCATAAGTGTGAAAAGGGGTCAAAAGTCATTCTTTTCGTGGAGGGACTCCTGCTGTCTCCTTACTCTGCAAGGCTTGCTCTGGGCAGCTCAGGGATGAGCAATGTCGGCCACCCTCGGAAGGGGCCGCAGTGTTGACCTTGGAAAAAAATCATGGATGCCTTTGGTCACTAATAAGAGGTTTAAGGTGACCAGTCCCAGGGGGCACTTGTGATCACAGGGTGCTTGGGAGAGAACTCTGGGAAAGGAGCAAACCAGGTAGCAGCATCCTTCGGCAGTACAGAGAAAGGAGTCCAGGCCCTTGGAAGTTTCTGATAGGAGGAACAGTTTGGTGTAGTGGTTAAAGCACCGGACTAAAAAGCTGGAGACACTGAGTTCAAGTCCTGCCTTGGCCATGAAAGCCGGCTGGGTGACTTTGGGCCAATCACCAGGGGACAGTGAGTTCTAGTCCCCGCCTTAGATACAAAAGCCAGTCAGGTGACTTTGGGCCAATCACCAGGAGAGGGTGAGTTCTAGTCCCGCCTTAGGCATGAAAGCAAGCTGGGTGACTTTGGGCCAATCACCAGGAGAGGGTGAGTTCTACTCCCGCCTTAGGCATGAAAGCTGCCTGTGTGACTTTGAGCCAATCACCAGGAGATGGTGAGTTCTAGTCCCGCCTTAGGCATGAAAGCAAGCTGGGTGACTTTGGGCCAATCACCAGGAGAGGGTGAGTTCTAGTCCCGCCTTAGGCATGAAAGCTGCCTGTGTGACTTTGAGCCAATCACCAGGAGATGGTGAGTTCTACTCCCGCCTTAGGCATGAAAGCTGCCTGTGTGACTTTGAGCCAATCACCAGGAGAGGGTGAGTTCTAGTCCCGCCTTAGGCATTAAAGCAAGCTGGGTGACTTTGGGCCAATCACCAGGAGAGGGTGAGTTCTAGTCCCGCCTTAGGCATGAAAGCTGCCTGTGTGACTTTGAGCCAATCACCAGGAGATGGTGAGTTCTAGTCCCGCCTTAGGCATGAAAGCCAGCTGGGTGACTGGGCCAATCACCAGGAGATTGGGAGTTCTAGTCCTGCCTTAGGCATGAAAGCTGCCTGTGTGACTTTGGGCCAATCACCAGGAGGGAGAGTTCTAGACCCGCCTTAGGCTTGAAAGACAGCTGGATGACTTTGAGCTAACCACCAGGAGTCAGTGAGTTCTAGTTCTGTTGCTGGAGCTAATCTCTCCCTCTCAAGCCCACCTCACAGGGTTGTTGTGGAGAAAATAGGAGGAGGGAGAGATGTTGGATATGTTTGGCACCTTGAGTTATTTGTAGTAGTAGTAATAATAATAATGATAATAAAGGCTGGATACCAATGAATAATTAAAAAAAAAAAATAGCTGGGGAGAATTCCTCTCTCCCGGGCAAAAGAGGGCATTCCCGAACTACCCAGAGCTTGAGGATCCAAGCAGGACGCTGAAGCAGCCAGGCGGAAGGGCCCACTCTGCTCGTCACGACCTGTGTCTAATCTCAGCACAACCTTTGCGAAGGTTCCAGAACGTACACAACTCACTTGTGCTTTTTGTCTCCTCCCACAGCAACCCTCCGTTGAGCGAGGAGATGCTGCCTCCCGGGGAATGGATGTGCCATCGCTGCACCGTGCGCCGGAAGGTAAAGAGATTTTGGGCATCCGGATACACACACACACACACACACACACACACACACACACACACACACCTCTTTCCTCTCCTCTCCCTCTGGAAGAGGAAGAATGGCTCCCAACAGCTGTAAGGAAATAAGCCTAGAAAAAGCACAGCTGGTATTTTTGCAGCAGACAAAAAAAAAATCTCTTTGAAAGGACCACATCTTTTTCTTTCTTTTCTTTTCTTTTCTTTTTTTGCCCCTCATTCTTAAGGGGGATAGTGTGTTATAAATAGTAAGAAAATCTAGCAATTGCGCTTAGACTTATATGCCATTTCCTAGTGCTTTACAGCCCTCTCTCAGCTGTTTACGGACCCCGGCAATCTGGCTCCTCATTTTAGCAACCTCGGAAGGACCGAAGGCTGAGTCAACCTTCAGCTGATCAGGATCGAACTGCTGGCAGTTGGCAGAGTTAGCCTGCAATACTGCATTTTAACAATTGTGCCACCAGGGAAGTGGGGGGGGGAAAGGAAGGGAAGGGAAGGAAGTAGAAAAGGGAGGGAGAGAAAGAAAGAAAAAAAGGAGGGAAGGAAGGAAGGAAGGAAAGGGGAAAAAGAGAGAAAAAAGGAAGGGGAAAAGGGAGAGGAAGGAAGGAAGGAGCAATAGCACTTAGACTTATATACTGCTTCAAAGTGCTTTGCAGCCCTCTCTAAGCAGTTTACAGAGGCAACCTGTTGCCCCCCCCCCCCCAATAATCTGGGTCCTCATTTTACCGACCTCTGAAGGATGGAAGGCTGAGTCAACCTGAGACAATTTTATAAATAAACTACAACATACACACACACCAAGGAGTAACTTACTGGAGTAAAGTGCAGCCTGGGAATAACCCCTTCCACGTTGTAGATCAGCTGCAGGCAGCTTCACTCAAGAAGGCCAGGCTCTCCGCCTCCTTGGGCCCATTGCAGCTGCGGGCGGGGCACGCTGGCACTGATCCACCAATGCTGGCACCGGCCTTTCCCCCTTTCCGGTGGGCGCTTCCCTTGCCAAGCCCCCGCTTCCTTCCCACAAGTTCAAAAAGCATGGAGTGGCCTCCCCTTGTTTCCATAGCAGCAGCGGCAGGAAAAGAATGAGGGGCACCTCGTGGGCTCCTGGGGAGGGGGGATACGCGGGGGGGTGAGGGGAAGCGCTTGGGCTGGGCTCCAACGTGTCAGCGGAGGGGCCGAATGCAAATAGTCCCTCCCCCCAGCCTGAAGGGAAAGCAGCACGGCCAGCCAGCAGAGCCTGCTACAAGTGGAGATGACCAGAGGTTTCCTCCCAGTCCTGGGACCCCTGGCACCTGGGAGGCACTGTTTCCGGCTTCCTGCTGCTGTTCCAATTTAGTCTCCAGAGTAGATTCTTTCTTTCCTCCCTCCCTCCCTCCCTCCCTCCCTCTCTCTCTCTCTCTCTCTCTCTCTCTCTCTCTCTTTCTCTTCACCTGGTTCCTTTCTCTATCTGTCTGTTCACTTTATCTCTCTCTGTCTGTCTTTCTCTAGAAATCATCTGTCTGTCTTCACCTGGTCTCGCTGTCTCTGTATCAGATCTATCTATATCTTCTTTTGGTCTATATATATGTGTGTGTGTAGACTATATATATATACATTATTTGTCTCTTTTTACCTAGTCTGTCTCTATTCAGTCCATCATGTCTGTGTGTGTGTGTGTGTGTGTGTGTCTGTCTGTCTGTCTTTCTGTCTGTCTACCTACCTACCTACCTAATCAATCTATCTATCTGTCTGTCTGTCTGTCTGTCTATCTATCTATCTATCTATCTATCTATCTATCTATCTATCTATCTATCTATCTATCTATCTATGGTATCTACCTACCCACCCACTCTCTCTCTGTGTATAGTCTGTCTATGTTCCCCTAGTCCCGTGATGGCGAACCTATGGCACGCATGCCACAGGTGGCACCCAGAGCCATATCGGTGGGCACACGAGCATTGCCCATTGCTCAGCTCCGACACGAATGCACCAGCTGATTTTTGGGCCTTCCAGGCCCACTGGAAGTTGGGAAATGGATCGTTTCCGGCCTCCGGAGGGCCTCCATGGGGGTGGGGAAGGCCGTTTTCGCCCTCCCCAGGCTCCAAGAAAGCCTCCAAGAAAATGGGCCTGCCAGGCCCACCGTGCCATCGCGTGCCAAAAGCATAAGGAGTGGGGAGGGTGGCACGCGCATGCATGGGGGGGGCGCATTGAATTATGGGGTGTGGGCATGCATGCATGTGTCCCCCCTGCTCTCCCCCCACTTTTGGCACGTTAGCCATCACTGACCTAGTCTATCTCTCTATTCATTTGATCCATCCACCACCCATCCATCTACCTACCTACCTACCCTTGGTCTCTCTCTTTCTCTCTCTCTATCTATAGTCTATCTATCTTCACCTGGTCTATTTTTCTCTGTCTATATTCATTTCATCCATCCATCCAATTGAGGAATCGCCTGCCTCCCTCCTAGAGGGACTTGACACACAGAAACACACACACACACGCCTGGTGTTCCCTCTTGAATCAAAGAGCCCCTTGTTTGGCCTTCCTCCTGTTCCACCTTCCCCGGCCTGAGGACCCGCTGGCCTTCTCTGAGAGACGAGGCTGTGTGTGGTTACAACAAGTTGCGCCAATACCTGCCTGGAAGCGAGTAAGGCTGTTGGGTTCCATCAGCCCTTCCTTCCTTCCTTCCTTCCTTCCTTCCTTCCTTCCTTCCTTCCTTCCTTCCTTCCTTCTTCACCCGGGGTCTTTTCTCCATCTGGAACCCTTCCTACTTTGCATCCTGAAAAGGGGCTGGTAGAATCTGGGGAAGGTCTTGGTTAAGCCCTGGAATATGACACACACACACACACACTCTCTCCAGTCCATTGTGTGATTGTGACACTCATTATAGCCCCCACACCCTCACATACAAATCATTCGTTTCAACCCCTGAGCTGCAAATATTCTCCTTTATTGCTGGTTTCAAACTGCCCAGCCAGTACTCGACTACGAGGCAGTGCAGGTAATCCTCGACTTAAACTACCCAAAATGTCCGTTGTTAAGCAAGGCGGTTGTTAAGTCAGCTTTTGCCCCATTCTGCAACCTTTTTACGATGGTTGTTAAGCGGATCCCTCCGGGTGTTAAGGGAAATCACACAGTTGTCAGGCAGATCTGGCTTCCTCCATTGACTTCGCTCGTCAGAAGCCACCTGAGAAGGGTCCGGGGTGTGTGTGTGTCACATGACCCTGGAACGCAGCAACCATCAATTAATCAATCAATCAATCAATCAAATAGATAAATCTGTTGACCAGTGCCTGAATTTTGATCACCTGACTCAGGGAATTCAACAAGTGTGTGAAAATTGGTTCTAAGTTACTTCTTTTTTTTCTTTTTTTTTCAGGGCCACTGTGACTTCAAACGGTCACTAAGCAATTGGTTATAAGTTGAAGTAGTCCTGTACAGGTAGTCCTCGACTTACAACAGTTCATTTAGTGACCATTCAAAGTTGCCACTGAAAAAAATCAATTTATGTCCATTTTTCAGACTTACGACCGTTGCAGCCTCCCCAGGGTCAGGTGATCAAAATTCTGATGCTTAGCAACTGGCTCATCTTTAGGACGGTCGCAATGTCCCCCAGGGTCACGTGATCCCCTTTTGCGACCTTCTGACAAGCGAAGACCGTGGGGAAGCCAGGTTTCACTTAACAAACACGTGACTAACGTAACAACTGCTGTGATTCACTTAATAACGGTGGCAAGAAAGGTCGTAAAAAATGAGCAAAAGTCACTTTAAAACTGTCTTGCTTAGCAAAGAAAAAATTAGGCTGAATTGTAGTCATATGTCAAGGAATACCTGTGTCCACAGAAAAACTGTCACGAAACAGCCCCCACAGTGACTTTTTGGGGGTTCTGGGGAGAGATATTTTCTGTCTCTTTCTCTCTCCCTCTATTTTTCCTCTTTCTCTCTCTTTTTCTCTTTCTCGCTCTGTCTCTTTCTTTTGCTCTCTGTCTTTCTCTTTCTCTCCCTCCCTCTGTTGTTCTCTTTTTTCTTTCCCTCTCTTTCTTTCTTTTTTCTTTCCCTCCCTCCCTCTCTCTCTCTCTCTCTCTCTCTCTCTCTCTCTCTCTCTCTCTCTCTCTCTCTCTCTCTCTCTCACACACACACACACACACACACAGAGTGCCGAGGGGCTTCCCCGGGGAGACTGACCGCTGCTTTGTGCCTTGCAGAAGAGAGAGCAGAAGAAGGAACTCGGTCACATGAATGGCTTGGTTGACAAATCCGGCAAGAGGACCTCGTCTCCCACCAGCGATGCCGACTACTTGGACCGGGCGGGCGGTGGGAGCCTCCGGACCCTTCCCCACTCCCGGCTCTTGGAGCGCAGAGCGAGCCGGCCCGGCACCCCGACCTCCAACACCAGCACAGACACCCCCAACTCGGAGCAGAACGACGTGGACGAGGACATAATCGACGTGGACGACGACTCGGCCCCCGGGGCGGAAGCCGAGGGTGGGCAGCCCCACCTGAAGCGACCCTTCGAGCTGCTCATCGCGGCCGCCATGGAAAGGAACCCCACCCAGTTCCAGCTGCCCAATGAGCTCACCTGCACTACGGCCTTGCCAGGTGAGGGAGCGGCAGCACCGCCCGGCGGCCTGAGGTGTAGCAGCTCCTTCCAAGGGGCTGGGCAGAGGACCAGAGGAACGTCCTGGGGGGCTACTGCTTGGCTTCCGGCATTGCCCGGACCAGGAACATGGGTCCGGTGGTTGAGCCAAGCAGGGCGGTCTTGTTCTTGAGGAGTGTTGGGGAACAATGGCCCCCTTTACGAGCTGTGGACTTCCTGCTGACTCAGGGATTCTGGGAGTTGAAGTCCACAGGTAATATAGGTGGCCATCATTGCCCACCCCTGCACTTGAGGGTGGGCAGGCACAGATTTCCCCCTTCGGATCCCCAGTATCTGCTAGCCTTATCTGTCTGTCTGTCTGTCTATCATCTGTCATCTATATATCTATCAAGATCTGTATCTCTGTATCAGCCTGTCTATCATCCATCTCATCTATCTGTCTGTCCATCTATGTCTGTCTCTGCCTACCTACCTACATATCATCCATCCATCTATCTCTGTCTGTGTTGCTTGTGTGTATCAAATTTAGAGATCTTATCTATCATCTATCATCCCCTGGGTGGATGTATGTTTATATGTCTCAAATTTAGGGATCTATCTGTCATCTATGCACTCTGTATCAGCTCTGTGCTTTTCTGGAACGCTGACACTCTGTGTGTGTGTGTGTTGTGTGTATTTGTGTGTATCAAGTTTAGGGATCTATCTCTATATCTCCTCCCTGTGTGTATCAAATTTAAAGAGCCATTTATATATCATCACCTACATACCTATCATCTATTTATTTCTGTCTGCTTGTGTGCATCACATTTAGAGATCTATCACCTGTCATCTATCCTGTCTCTCTTTCTGTGTGTGTGTGTGTGCGCATTTGTGGTCTATCAAATTTAGAGACCACCCATCCCACCCCCAGAGCGACTCACTTCCTGTTCTGCCCTGCCAGGTACTAGTAAGCGAAGAAGAAAGGAAGAGACCTCCGGGAAGAATGTCAAGAAAGCACAGCATGAGCTGGACCACAATGGTTTGGTTCCCCTGCCAGTGAAAGTCTGCTTCACCTGCAGCAGGTATCGGCTGGGCTTGGGCCGGGGGTCTTATATCTGCACCTGGGAACAGGGGGTGTTCTCCGTTTCAGGAGCTCAGCAGCACTGCACGTACCCCCACACGCCCTCTTTCCAATACCTTTAAACCTCCCTCCCTCCCATCCCAAGCGATGCCCTGCCTTCACCTGAGCTTAAGGTTCCCTCCTCGCTGGCCTGGCCCCTCCAGGAAAGAACCCACCTGGAACTAAGACTAAGGAGAAATTTCCTGACAGGGAGAAGAACCAGTCAGTGGAATGGCTTTCCCCCAGAAGTTGTGGGCCCCCAGTGCTCTCTGGACACAGTTGTTTTCCTGCAGATGTTTTGTTACCTAAACTAGGTAACACCATCGATACTAGCACTCATGATATTAGCTAGTCATGAAACATCTGCAAGAAAACAACCAAGCTCGGAGAGCACCAAGGACTCCTCATTTCAAGCTTAAGACACAAATATTCTCCTTTATCAGGAAGTTGTGGCTGCTCCATCACTGAAGGTTTTTGAAGAAGAGACTTGGAGAAACATTTGTCTGGAAAGGTGTAAGGCAGGGGTGAAATGCTTCCGGTTCAGACCGGATCGCCCGATCCGGTAGCGATGGAGGCGGGTGGTTCGGAGAACTGGTAGCAAAAATCCCTGCCCCCCCCCCCCATGCCCAGCTGAGCCACACAATCATCAGAGGCTTTTTCTTTTTCTTTCTTTTTTTCTTTTAAAAGCATTTTTTCTACAAGCTCTTCGGCCAAAAAAATGCTTTTAAAAGTAAAAAAAAAAAAAAAAAAGCCTCTGATGATCGTGCGGCTCAGCTGGGATCGTCAAAGGGATCGTCAGCTGAGTTGCCTAATCAGCAGAGGCTTTTTTTTTTCTTTAAATGCCTCTGACGATCCATGCTGAGTTGCCTGATCGGCAGAGGCTTTTAAAAGGAAAAAAAGCCTCTGCCGATCAGGCAACTCAGCTGGGATCGTCAGAGCCTTTTGAAAGCATTTTTTCTACAACCTCTTCGCCGAAGAGGTTGTAGAAAAAATGGTTTTAAAAGAAAAAACAATGGCCACGCCCACCCAGTCACATTACCCCCCACCAAGCCATGCCCACAGAACCAGTAGAAACAAATTTTGATTTCACCACTGGTGTAAGGCCTCCTGCTTGAGCAGTGGATGAGAATAGAAGACCTCCGAGGTCCTTTCCTTCGGAATCCTCTGGTGGAATGCCTCTCCTTCTGCTTCCCCACGACTGGGGAAGTCCCAAGTGAAGTTCCTTCTGACGTTACCAGAGGAGCTTGCCACAGGGTTGAGGTCCAGTTCCCATCAGCCCCTGTCTCCCAGATGAACAGGACGTCACAGGGTGGGAAGCGTGAGTGACCACCGGAACAGGCCAAGCATAAGAGGACGTCCCCCCTCTTCTACGTTCCCCATGGAGTAAGGATTCCTGGTATTCTTTTCCAGGAGCTGCCGAGTGGCCCCTCTGATCCAGTGTGACTACTGCCCTCTACTCTTTCACATGGACTGCCTGGAGCCCCCCCTGACAGCCATGCCGCTGGGCAGGTGGATGTGCCCCAATCACATTGAGCATGTGGTGGTAAGCCAGGGTCTCGCCTCGTGGTCAGGGGGGGCTGCGGGGGGAGAGGGTTGCGGGGGAGCAATGGCCGGCCGGTTTCCCTTAGGCCGCTCCGTCTCTTTCAGCTGAACCAGAAGAACATGACGCTGAGCAACCGGTGTCAGGTGTTCGACCGCTTCCAGGACACCATCTCGCAGCACGCGGTGAAGGTGGATTTCTTGAACCGGATCCACAAGAAGCACCCACCCAACCGCCGAGTGGTCCAGTCGGGGAAGAGGAAGGGTCTGAAGGTAGGAAACCCCCATGTCAGGCTTGTCCCAGCTTGCACCTTTAGGGAAGAAAGACCCTCGACTCCCATTTGCAGCGAAAGGTATACTTTTACTAAAGCTAATTGGTTTGCAGCATAGGAAAGCCAGATCTGAAGATTCCCACACAAGGCCAGGTTAAAGAGAGACCTGACAACCCTTCGTCTGAAATTTCTCTGAGCAGAGGGGGTTGGACTAGAAGACCTTGAAGGTCCCCTCCAACTGGTTCATTCTGTTCCTTTCCCCCTTGTTTCACGCCTTCCTCCCTGGTCATCTTTCTAGTGTCCAATCAAGTTCAAATGAGTTGTTTTGGTAACAGTAAAGGAGCATATTTGTAGCTCAAGGTTTGACATGAGGGGTCCTTGGTGCTCTCCGAACTGGCTGGCCTTTCTTGCTGACGTTTCATGACCCAAACTAGGGAACATCATCAGTGCTAGTACTGGATTGGAATACCCCAATCAAGAAACTGCCAAAGAAGCCAACAGCAAATAGCCCAACCAAAGAATCTCTCGGACCACCAGCGCTGACTGGGCAAGCTCTACCAGAGTATAAACGGACAGCAAACCACACTCCTTACTAGCACTGATGATGTTACCTAGTTGGGTCATGAAATGCCTGCAAGAAAAATAAGCTCAGAGAGCGCCAAGGACCTCGCAATCCTCCTCCTCCAACCCCACTCCTTACTAGCACTGATGATGTTCCCTAGATGGGTCATGAAACGTCTTCAAGAAAACGAGCAAGCTCAGAGAGAGGACCCTCATGTTGTTTTCTGAGGTCTGTCTGGCACCTCTTTTGAGATATCCGGAGGGCTCTTGGGTTGGTTTCGTTTTTCTATCATCCCCTCCCCCTCCCTACTGCTCCCCTCCCCCTCCCCCCCATGTTTTATGGCAGGCTGCCCTCAAGGCTGAAACTATGAGGTGGCACCCCGCGTTGGGTGATCCCAGCAATCCTTGCAGGCTGACTTGCAATGCCCTGGTTCTGCCAGGAGATGGCAGCCTTGCCGCTCGGAAGGGCACTGTCAGGTGTGCTTCCTTCAAAGTCCAGGAAAGAATGACCCAAACTCCATGATTTATAGAGAAAGGTACTTTTACTAGGAAATGAAGTGAACGCAACCCAGGAAAGCTGAAATTAAAGGCAATAAGCGTGAAAATTGCATATAGAAAGCGTCCCCTCCCACTGTCCATCGTAAATCATCCAATCCAAAGGTCTCCCAGGGGTCAGGTGGAAGCACACGTCTGGCAGCGTCATCAATCAGGAATGCCACGACGGTTGACCCTACAGCAGCTTCAAAGATTCAGTTTCATTTCTTCCAAAGTCCTCCAGCACGCTTCCCCCCCGCCCCCGGCCCCCTAGCTCTCCCCCCTCCCGTTTCTTATGGCAGCCAAAGCAGTAAAAGTGGAGGCTGACAGGCATCCTCCGATGGCTGTGCCAACTTCTCTCCTCCGCTTCTCTTTGCCCGGCAGGTCCCAGAGGCCATCAAGTCCCAGTATCGGATCCCACCAGCATTAATGGCGCCCGCGGCCATCCGGGACGGGGAGCTGATTTGCAATGGCTTTTCCGAGGGGTCTTTGCAGAAGCCCCCTGGCAGCCCCTCCCAGCACTTAGCCGCCCAGTCGGAACAGCAAGAGGTAAAACGGCTAGCAAGCCACGTGTTGTTGCAGATTGGGGGCGGGATGGGTCGCCCTCCTGCCAGGCTGCATCAGACGCCCCCCCCCGTCTGGGTCTCAGAGCTGGGGCAACAGAGCAAGCTGAGTCCTCCCAGCACCCTCAGAAAATCAGTGGGGCCAGTCTCCTTCCCTCGACGGACGGTCGATGGGGGGTCGACCCCTATCATCACCTCTGCCCCAGGGAGTTTCCTTAGTCGGCTTTGAGGGACTGCTAGAAGAGCAAAAGGGAACCATGGAGTGGGTTTGGAATGTAGATGGTCCTCGACGTACGACCGCAATCGAGCCCAGCGTTTCCACTGCTAAGCAAGACAGTGGATAGGAGAGCTTTGCCCCGTTTTACGACCTTTGTCGACACGGCTGTTAAGCGAATCTCTGCCGTTGTTAAGTTAGCCACACGGTTGTTAAGTGGCTTCCCCATTGACTCTGTTCAGTCACAAAATTAGGAGCCTGAGTGGCGTAGGAGGCTAATGCCTCCTAAGGCAGCATTTAACATCCAGCTGCCTGCAATTACTGCTGGTTCGAATCTCGCCAAGGCTCAAGGTTGACTCAGCCTTCCATCCTTTCTAAGGTAGGTAAATTGAGGACCCAGTTTGTGGGGGCAATAAACTGACTTTGTATAAATATACAAAAGAATGAAGGCTATTGCTTAGCGCATTGTAAGCCGCCTTGAGTCTCCGGAGAAGGGCGGCATATAAATCAATTTTTTTAAAAAAAGAGGAGGGGGGGAATCACGTAATCCTGGGACCGTCATAAGTACATGCCAGTGGCCAATTTTTTGGGGGGTTTTCATCATGTGACCAATTTTGTGATCGGATTTCGATCATTGTGACCAATTTTGACCGTGTGACTTTACAGCTGGTCGTAAGTGTGAAAACAGGTTGTAAGTCGCCTTTTTCACTGCTGCTGTAACTTCGGACGGTCACTGAATGAATGGTTGTAAGTCGGTTGTAATAAGAAATGAAGGGCCAGCATTTTAAAACAGATTTCAAAGGGCCGGTGAGTCAAAATAGCTTTTTGCTTGGTGCAAAAACTTCCCAGAAGAGGAAACGCCACATTCAGAGACAGTTTGTGGCAGCTCTGGCCACAGGAGGGGACCCTGGTCAGAGGGAAACGCCTTCCGATTTCATGGCCGTTTGGCAGATGCCAGCAGGGCTCCTCATTTAGTGACTCCTGTTTTGGGAAGAGGGTGAGAGCTCTCTCCCAGGAAGGAACTCCTGCTTGAATCCAGACACACCTCCCTCTGCTGCTTCTGGAGGCCGAGGGACGCAGAGTTCCTGGACTATAGCAACACCGCTTAAGACACGAAGTGCTTGACTTGCAACAATTCATTTAGTGACCGTTCGAAGTTACAACGGCCCTGCAAATAGTGAATTAGGATTTTTTTTCACACAATCGGTGCGGCATCCCTGCGGTCACATGATCAAAACTCAGGACGCCCGGCCACTGGCTCGTATTTACGACGGTCGCGGCGTCCCAGGGTCACATGATCCCCCCCTTTTGTGGCCTTCTGGAAAGCAAAGTCAACGGGGAAACCAGGTTCACTTAAGAACCCCGTTACTAACTTCGCAGCTGCAGGGATTCGCAACAACTGCGGTGAAAAAGGTCGCGAGACGGGGCAAAATTCACCGCCTCGTTTAGTGACGGAAACATTGGGCTCAATTGTCATCATAAGTCGAGGACTGCCTGTGTACCGCCCCGTGGCGTTTTACAGCTCCCTCTGGTCGGTTTGCAACACCAGACAAGCCCCATCAACAAACGGCCGGACCGAAGTGGGGGCAGCAAGGCTGGGCAGAGCTGACCGTCGACCCTCCTTCCTGACCTCTGACCTGTGGCCGTCCTTTCTGTTTCAGTGGCTGTGTAGCATCGTGGCCCTGCAGTGCAGCATCCTCAAACACTTATCGGCCAAGCAGGCCCCTTTTTCCTGGGACCCGGAGCAGGTGGAGAAAGGGGACATCAAGCCGGTGCTGGCGGCTGACGGCTCCCTCGCCAGTCCGTACCAGGCGACGGACAAGCCCAACGCTCCCCCTCCCAGTTGCACCTCGGGGCTCATCCCTCAGAACTCCTTGCAGGACGAGACCCCCTACCCTTCCTCCGCAGACTGGCCCAAGAAACCTTCCCCCTGCGGGACGTCGAACGGCCTTGGCGCCGCAGAGGTGAAGATCAACGGCCCCAGCTTCTACGGCGAGGCCTCCGTGCCCGCTTCGCCCAGGCTGACCGGGCAGGGCGGGTCCTTGTCTCACCGGCAGCAGCCCTGGCCAAGACCCACCACTCCTCCGGCGGCTTGCGGGCTCCTCAACCACGTGGCTGGCGCCATCGTGAAAACGGAGAACGCCGCAGGACCTGTCTCGTGCCCCCACAAGGTCGCCGTGCCCGTCACCACCCTGCTGGCCTCGCTCCCCAGTTCTTGCTTCAGTCTGGAAGCTGCCATGGCGTGGCCACAGAAGAACACTCAGGCGCCGATCGGGCCTCTGCTAGCTACAGATCTGGGCGCAGCGGACTCCCCTGTCTCTGCCACATGGGCACTCACGCCTCACCCAGCGGCTGTAGGGGAAGGAGGCTCTGCCGTAGCCCCCGCCCATGGTTTTTGTTCGTCAGCCCCACCTCCAGGTGAGTAAAGAGGTGACTGGGGGGAGCTCTGGGCATTTGCCCCCCCCCCCGCCAGAAATCCTGAGTAAAAGCCCCTCTGTTTCCAAAGGCAAGGTTTTTTTAAAAAAAAAACTCTTTTAAGAAGAGACTGGATGGCCATTTGTCTGGAATGTTGTAGGGCGCAGGGGACCTTGGAGGTCATCTAGCCCAACCCCCTGCTCAAGCGTGAAACCCTATGTTAAGGATATTGGTGTTGTGTTACCAACCAGCAGAGTAAATGCACAAGGAAACGTTGCTGAGAGCGATGAATAAGAGATATGCAAACTGGTTTATCAAAAGCTTACTTTATAGTAGAAAAAAACAGTCTCATAGTCTTTAAACAAATTCCAAGTCTTTGCCAGTTAAATCAGTCCAGTAGTTACAGATATCTTCTTACCCAACAAACAGTAGTTGGTTAGAATAACAAACTCACTCTGGTTCACAAACCAGGATGGTTGCAGATCCATCCAACGATGATTAGCAGATAGCAACTCCTCATTATGGCAGCATATCATAGCAGCTTCATCATCAACGGCAGCATATCATAGCAGCAACTGAACACGTTACAGTACCTTGCTTAAATACTCTCACAACCAGTCATTACCTAATTACAGCATGACTCAGCATTAAAGCCTTAAAATTACACAATAGATATTCATATTAAAGTCACAGAACACATATATTGCCTGGACAACTTGTTAGGCTCAAACCATATCCTAACACCCTACATTAGAGATGTCCAACCTTGGAACTTGAGGACCGGTGGACTTCAACTCTCATGCTGTCTGGGGAATTCTGGGAGTTGAAGTCCACCAGTCTTAAAAGTTCCAAGGTTGGACACCCCTGATAATAGGGTCTCAATAGGGGTCAATAGGCTGATTCTGTAAACCGCTTAGAGAGGGCTGCAAAGCACTGTGAAGCGGTATATAAGTCTTAAGTGCTGTTGCTATTTCATTGTAGTAGCTTGGTTATAAAAATATAAATAACAAGTGAGAACCATCAACCAATGGAACGGCTTCCCTTCAGAAGTTATGGGAGCTTCATCACTGGAAGCTTTCAAGATTAGACTGGAGTGCCATCTGTCAGAAATGGTGTAGGGCCTTGATTTGATTTGATTTAATTTAATTTAATTTATCACATTTCTATGCCGCCCAACTCCCAAGGGACTCCCACAGGTGGCACGAGGAGCCATGTCGCCTGGCACACCAGCTCAGGTCCAGCATGTGCATGCTGATTTTCGGGCCTTCTGGGCCCATCAGAAGTAGGAAAACAGCCAGTTTCCTGCCTCCAGAGGATTTGGGGGGTGGGGAAAGCCTGTTTTTCTTTCTCACCTGACTCCAAATCCTCTCTATGCATCTGGGGAGGGTGAAAACAGCCTTCCCCACCCCCTCGGAGGTCTGAAACAGCCAAGTTCCCAATTTCCATTTGGACAGGAAGTGACTTTTTTGCTGTCCCCAGCCTCCAGAGCTTCTCTGGGCCTCTGAGCGGGTGGGGAAGGCTGTTTTCGCCCTCCCCAGATGCATAGAGAGGATCTGGAGCCAGAAAGAAAAACAGGCCTACCAGGCCATTGTGTGCCAGGAGTGGGGGGGAGGGGGGTCACACGCGCATGCACGGGGCAGGGCGCAGAGAATTATGGGTGTGGGCACGCACGCACGTGAACCTCCCCCGCCCCCCCCCTTACTGGCACGCGATGGCAAAATGGTTAGCCATCACTGGTGTAGGGCCTCCTGGTTGGGTGGAGGGGTTGGACTAGATGACCTACAAGGTCCAGATTTAGCAGTCTACCCAGATCTGGGAGATGTAACGATATCATGACCTAACTATTTGCTTTCCTCTCGTCTCCAGATGGAAAGGTCAGCCCAAGCCCCCTTCCTGCTTTAGCGACCCCTTCCTCGCTCCCTTCCAATTCTTCGGCCGCAGTGGACGTCGCGGGACCCGTGAAGGCATTAATAGACGGGAGCGGAGGTGAGGGTCCTTTGCGAAGGTCTCGTTTTTCCTGCAGGAGGGCAAGTGCTTTTCAGCTGGTCGTGCTGATGTGATTCTTGCACTGTCTACGGAGCTGCTCCATCCCCCCGGCCATGGTTGTCCCAAAGGTGCTTTTTTTCCAAGAGGCAACTGGGCTTTCTGGTTTTTCCTTGAAGACATTTCGCGTCTCATCCTTCAGCTCTGCCTGTATGGTGGAGAACGGAAGGATTTATACTCCTTACAGAAAGCGGGTCATTTGCATTGTTTTAGTGAGTCATTGAGGCCATAAAATGCAGTACAACGCAGTGAGTCGTGCAGATCTGTACATTGGGGAAACAAAACAACCACTTCCTAGGCGCAGCCTAGGAGAACAAGCCCATCAGGAATAGATTCAGCACTTCCATCTGCCTTTGAAAGACAAAAGGCCCCTCTTTTGAAGACAGGAAAGTCCATATTTTGGGCAGACAGGACGGCTGGTTTGAAAGAGGGATCAAAGAGCCTTTATTAGGACTTATTTAGTGGCGAAACTGGCGGCAAAATGTTCGCATTCTTCCGCACTTATTGCATCTGGTGATTCGTGCCCAGCCGCCCTATTTAGGGTGGCTCGTTCCCTCCTTAATGCAGGGGGAGTGGAGGATCCCTTGCAGGGTAGAGCTGAGGAGTTTGTGCAGTTTCTGTCAGATAAAGTCGCTCAGATTCGGATGGACCTGGACTCTGATTGGGCAATTCCAACCGAGATGACGGGGGGGCGGGTCTTAGTCCTATTGTGTGGGATGAATTTGAACCTGTGACTGCTGAAGAAGTGGACAAGGCTGTAGGAGCGATGAGTTCCTCCACTTGTTTGTTGGACCCGTGCCCCTCCTGGCTGGTTTTGGCCAGCAGGGAGGTGACACGGTAGGCTTTAGTTAACGCAAGGGAAGGGGCCTTCCCACAACCATTAAAGGAAGCAGTTGTAAGACCCCTCCTCAAGAAGCCTTCCCTGGATCCAGCAGAATTAAAGAACTTTCGTCCAGTCTCCAACCTAGCCTTTGTGGGAAAGGTTGTAGAGAAAGTGGTGGCACTTCAGCTCCTGCGGTCATTGGAGAGAACGGATTATCTAGATCCTTTCCAGTCTGGCTTCAGACCTGGCTACAGCACGGAAACTGCCTTGTCACGCTGATGGATGATCTCTGGCAAGCCCGAGATGGGGGTCATTCCTCCATCTTGGTGCTACTTGACCTCTCAGCAGCTTTCGATACCATTGACCATGGTATCCTTCTGGGACGACTAAGGGAGCTGGGAGTGGGAGGCACCGTGTTACGGTGGTTCTCCTCCTATCTCTCTGGTCGGTCACAGTCGGTGCTGGTAGGAGGACAGAGGTCGACCCCAGGCCCCTCATTTGCGGGGTGCCTCAGGGCTTAGTCCTCTCTCCCCTCCTATTTAACATCTACATGAAGCCGCTGGGTGAGATCATCCGACGATACGGGGTGAGGTATCAGCAATACGCGGATGATACCCAGCTGTATATCTCTACCCCGCGTCAATTCAGTGATGCGGTGGATGTGATGTGCCAGTGCCTGGAGGCCGTGAGGGTTTGGATGGGAGTCAACAGGCTCAGACTTAACCCAGACAAGACCAAGTGGCTGTGGGTATTGCCTCCTAAAGACTATGTTGACTGTCCATCCTTGGTTCTGGGGAGGGGGAGAAATTGTCCCCCTCAGAACGGGCTCGCAATTTGGGTGTCGTCCTAGACTCACAGCTAAGACTGGAGCAACATCTGACAGCTGTGGCTAGGGGGACCTTTGCACAGGTTCGCCTGGTGCACCAATTGCGACCCTACTTGGATCAGGAGGCTCTCCTCACAGTCACTCATGCCCTTGTCACCTCATGGTTAGATTACTGCAACGGGCTCTACATGGGGCTACCCTTGAAAAGTGTTCGGAGACTACAGTTGGTCCAGAACGCAGCCACACGAGCTGTCGTGGGTGCACCTAGGTGCACCCACATTACACCAATTCTCCGTGAGCTGCACTGGCTCCCTATCAGTCTCAGTCACAATTCAAGGTGTTGATCATTACCTTTAAAGCCCTACATGGCTCAGGGCCAGGTTATCTTGGAGACCGCCTTCTGCCGCATAGCTCCCAGCGACCGGTAAGATCCCACAGAGTTGGTCTCCTCCGGGTCCCATCAGCTAAACAATGCCGGCTGGCGGCCCCACGGGGGAGGCCTTCTCTGTGGCTGCCCCAGCTCTCTGGAACCAGTTACCTCCTGAGGTCCGGACCATCCCCACCCTATTAGCCTTCCGAAAAGCAGTGAAGACCTGGCTTTTCCGGCAGGCCTGGGGCCGTTGATCTCGCTGTTGCGATTTGGCGAGATTCGGCCATGAATGGTGTGAATGGGTTTTAATTGTTTTTAATGGTTTAACTTTTAATGTTTTATATATAGTTTTTAAATGCATTGTAAGCCGCCTCGAGTCTTTGGAGAAAGGCGGCATACAAGTTGAACAAATAAAAATAAAATAAATAAATAAATATGTCCAAATTGAACAGCCCTCTCTCAACGGAGGGGGATGGAGGGATACGACGTCATCCATATTCAGTCTACAACACAGATCCTTTCAGCAGTTCCAAGAAGGCTCCACACCCATTTGCACCACTCAGGTGACCCTTAGGACACAGGTAAACCTCCAGGTGGCCTCAACAACCTTCTAAAAGGATGCAAATGACCAGCTGTCTGCAAGGAGTATGAATCCTTCCCTTCCCCACCATCCAGTTAGAGCTGAAGAAGCTCCTTGGATGTGAAGCAAAACATCTTCAAAGAAAAACCAGGAAGTCCAGTTGCCTCTTGGAAAACACAGACACACACAGAGAGAGAGAGAGAGAGAGAAGCAGGTTGAAGGCTGGCAAAGGAAACAGATCATTCTCACACCCAGTTGTGCGGTCAAAGAGCCAGCCTGCCCACATCGTGGTTTCTTCCAAGGGTGGACAGGCTGTCCTTTTGGGCTAGACAGCCAGCAAGCTTTCTTGAGACGCCTTGTTGTGGCTCACGGTCGCTTTGGAGGCTCTTGGGTTGGCTCCTTGGCCCGGTCCAGGCGCTCAGCTGATCGACCCCCACCCCCCACCCCTTGCCTTTTCGTTAGCAGAGATCGAGATCGGGATGCTGGATGAGAAACTGATCAAGTTCCTGGCCTTGCAGAGGATACACCAGCTCTTCGCCTCCAAAGCCCAGCCAGCGGCCGACAGCGTGGGAAGCCCCCCGCCCAGTTCTGCCAGCAACCCTGCCGAAGGTAGTCCGTGCCGTCGTAATCTCGGCTTTTCCTGTTAGGATTGCTGCTCCAGCCGGGGGGGGGGGGGGGGGGGGGGGGTCGACTTAAAAAAGAGAGTTGGGGGCTTGGCATCCTCTCGCATGGGCCCAGTTTCTACCCTCCCTCCAGTCTTTTGGCTTTCCTTGGTGCTCTCCCTCTCTTTCCCCCCTCCCCTCCCCCCCAGTCAAAATGCCAACTCCTCAGAGCCTACTAGGTGCCCACCACTACTCAGAGTAGATACCGAGTGGTACCTCGGCACTCATCCTTAATTGGTTCTGGGAGGCACAATGACTACCAAAAACAAGTACCAAACCAATTTACCGACATATTCTAGTTTGTGCGTTAAGTACCAAACAAAAGACGAGTAACGGGACAAAATTTTCCCGTCAAAACTTGTTGAGTACCAAATTCAAGGAGTTTCAAAGCAGCCGAGAACCAAGGTGTCCCTGTAATCGGAATTAAACCCTCATCGAAAGGTGCCAGTCTGTCCACACAGCAAAGGGGGCACCCCACTCCAATCTGAGGCCCGGGTGCTGCTCTTCTGCCCTCCTCGGAGGACAAGAGAACCCTTGGATGCCCCCCTGCTTTCTGATCGTTCTAGCATCGCCTTTGAACGTTGGTGCCCTGAAGCCCGAGGAGTCTAGATCAGAGTTCCCCAACCTTTCTGGGTTGGCAGCCCAGAGTGGGGGAGGGGAGGGAGAAAAGGGGGGATGTTTTTGTGGGAGGGGGAGGCAATTGTGTGTGCGTGTAGAAACACCCTTTGCTTGCACAAGTGTGGCCGTGTCTACGCGAGTGGAGCCCGCAAGCGCCCACAACGCTTGTAATGCTCGCACAAGTGGGGCTGTGCGTGTGCACACGTGCGTGCACACCAGCCATCTACTCACGCGGCCCAGTGGCCAAAACCTCACAGGTTGGGGAGCCCTGGTCTAGATAAGCAAGGGCCCACTCCAGTGGTGGGTTCGGCCCGGTTCGGCCAAGCCGGTAGCACTGACGATATGACGTCACCGAACCGGTTCTCTTTGTCCGGGAACTGGGCCCTCCCACCCGCCCCCGGCATTATTCCTACCTAGATTTCTTCGAGTGAAGTGAGCATGTGCGCGGTGATCTCGCACGAAGCGCGTGCACGAAGAGAACCGGTAGTAAAGCCGCTTGGAACCCACCACTGGCCCTCTCCCTCCAGCAGACGGCTTTGGCTGAGCTTTTCACTGGCCCTAGAGCGCTCAGAAAGGAGTGGGAGGGTTAAGAAAAGGCCCACCCTAATTCTGCCCAGCGGCCATCAGAGAGAAAGAGGCATTTGGAACGGAGCGTCCGGTGCCTGGTATGGGAGGCGCCTGGCACCCAGGGCATCTTTCTGCCTTTGCAGGACAGAGGAAGGAGGTGCAGGCCCGGGCAGTCTTCTACCCACTCCTCGGCTCGGGCAGCGCTGTGAACATGTGCTACAGGACCCTCTACATCGGGACAGGCAAGGGCTGGTTTCTCTGCATGATCGACAGGTGTGGGGAGGAGGAGCAGGGGAGGAGCCCCTCCACTCTCGTTGCCCCTCGGCCGGCATTCCTGGGGCTTCCTCGGCCCCCCCATCGCTGGGAAAGTCACCCTCCGGGTAGCGGTTAAGACACGATTCACGTACAAGAAACGCAGAATGGAGGGACCCAAGGCCTGACCCGGCTCGCTCCCCGAGGCCTTCGGTAGTGGGAGCCCCCCTGGACTGCGGTTCTGACCCCTCCCCTCCTCCTTCGTTTGGCAGGAGCAGACATGGACGTGTGCCTTACAAACTACGGTCACTGCAACTACGTCTCGGGCAAACACGCCTGCATTTTCTACGATGAGGTGAGAGACGGAAGGAGGGCAGCGGGCCCACGCGGACACGGACGCTTTCTGCTTTTTCAGTGGGCAGGTGGGGGAAGTATCTGGGGGGAGGATGAGGAGACCCCCTCCTCTGGTTTGGTTTGGTTTTTCCTTTTTCTCTTCCCCCCCCCCCCCCCCCCCCCCCCCCCGTTTGGTACAACGGATTTTCTTCCCCAGACCACCAAACATTACGAACTGCTCAACTACAGCGAGCACGGCACCACGGTGGACAACGTCCTGTACTCGTGTGACTTCTCGGAGAAGGCGGCGTTCATCCCGCCCAGCAGCATGGTTGCCAAAGTGCAGAGCGTGATCAGTAAGTTCCCCAGGCCAGTTCCCTGGCGGCTGAGCAGTGTTTACACAAATACAGACACACACACACACACACACACACACACACACACACACACACACACACACATTGCCCAAAGGGGCTACTTGGAATCTTTTGATGTCTCCCTAAGCGACGCTGGCATGCTCTACATTGTGGGCGGCTTGCAAAGCAGAAACATTTTCCAATGGGGTTCCTGCATCGGTGGGCGCGTAGCTCATTAGTCCCGCTCAACGCCCAACCCGTCAGTTGGCTGGCTGCTGCGGGGCCCCTCCCTTTTTAGCAGAGGTGGGTTTTTCAGCAGGTTCTGACCAGTTCTGGAGAACTGGGAGCGGAAATTTTGAGTAGTTCGGAGAACCGGTAGTAAAAATTCTGACTGGCCCCGCCCCCATCTATTCTCTGCCTCCCAAAACCCAGCTGATAAGGGAGGGAATGGGGATTTTGCAGTATCCTTCCCCCAGGAGTGGGGAGGGAATGGGGATTTTGCAATATCCTTCCCCCAGGAGTGGGGAGGGAATGGGGATTTTGCAGTATCCTTCCCCTGGATTGGGGAAGGAATGGGGATTTTGCAGTAACCTTCCCCTGCCACGCCCACCAAGCCACACCTACCAAGCCACACCCACAGAACCGGTAGTAAAAGATTTTGAAACCCACCACTGCTTTTCAGAGTTTCAATATATGTAGTTCTCGATTTATGACCACAGCTGAGGAGAGGGAAGGAGGATTAGGAATGTTTACTGCCTGGAGTTACAGGTAGTCCTCAGCTTACAATCACAACTGAGCCCAACATTTCTGTTCCTAAGCAAGCCAGTGGTTAAGTGAGTTTTGCCCCATTTTGACGGCCTTCCTGGCCACAGTTGTTAAGTGAATCACGGCAGTGATTAAGTTAGTCACACGGTCGTTAAGTGAATCTGGCTTCCTCGTTGACTTTGCTTGGCAGAAGATCACAAAAGGGGATAACACGATCCCGGGATGCTTCGACCGTCAGAAATACGAGTCCATTGCCAAGCGCCCAAATTTTGATCACGTGAACGGGGGGGGGATACTGCAACGGTCATAAGTGTGGAAAAAACGGTCCTAAAGTCCCTTTTTCCAGTGCCATTATAACTTTGAACGGTCGCTAAGCGAAAGGTTGTAAGTCGAGGACTCCCTGTGCCTGAAACCCTCCTCCTCCTCTTTGTGAGATGGCAGTTGCCCTTGCAGAAGAACCGGTGTGGGCGGAAGGCCTTAGTAACAAAATTGGTGGTCATCACAAAAAGCTCCTGGGCTCCTCCTCCCTTGTTGTTTTTTGTGTGGCCAAAGGGGTTGATTGATTGGTCGATCAAATTTATACGCCACCCATCCCACAGTATAAGTAGTTTGAGCTCTCAGCACCCGCCTTTTTATCTAAAAGATAATTTATATAATTTATCTTTTATCCCTCATTTATCTGAGATTGGGATAGGTTCTCCTGCTTGAGCAGAGGGCTGGACTAGAAGACCTCCAAGGTCCCTTCCAGCTCCTATTCTGACCTATCCTATCCTATCCCGCTCCTGCTCCTGCTCCTGCTCCTATTCCTACTCTATTCTGTCTTCTGTTCTGTTCTGTTCTATTCATTTCATTTCATTCCCTATTCCAGGGATGGCTAACCTTTTCTGGACCGAGTGCCCAAAGCGCCCAAATGTGCTCGCGGCCAAACCCCCCCAAATGCAATGCGTGCACGCCCCCTCCCTGGTGCATGCGCCCTGCCGCCCGTGCATACGCACGCCGCCCCCCCCCGCACATGCGTACACGACTCCCCCGCACATGCCCCGCCCCCCGCACATGTGCGGCAGAGACTCAAAGACCGGCTGGCTGGTGGCACATGTGCAGCGGAGCTGAACTGGCGTGACGACTCGCATGCCCACAAAGAGGTTTGCCATCACGGCCCTATTCTATTCTATTCTATAATATTCTATTCTATTCCATTCCATATTTTCTTTTCTTTTTTTTCCTATTCTTTTCTTTTCTATTCTATTCTATAATATTCTATAATATTCTATAGTATTCTATTAATTCTATTCTATTCTATTCTATAATATTCTATTAATTCTATTCTATTCTATAATAATCTAGTCTATTCTATAATATTCTATTAATTCTATTCTATTCATTCTATTCTGTTCTATAATATTCTATTCTATTCTATTCATTCTATTCTATAATATTCTATAATATTCTATTCATTCTATTCTATAATATTCTATTCTATAATCTATTCTATTCTATTCTATTCATTCTATTCTATTCTATAATATTCTATAATATTCTGTTCATTCTATTCTATAATATTCTATTAATTCTATTCTATTCTATAATATTCTATTCTATAATCTATTCTATTCTATTCTATTCTATAATATTCTATAATATTCTATTAATTCTATTCTATAATATTCTATTAATTCTATTCTGTTCTATTAATTCTATATTATTCTATTCTATTCTATTCATTCTGTTCTATTCTAATTCTAATTCTATTCTATTATGTTTCTACACTACTCTTTTCCTATTCCTATTCTTATTCTATAAACGCGGTCTGCCCAGTCTTTGGAGATTTATGACTGAGGTGCCGCCATTATCCCAAGACCCAGAGAAGTGGGTCTCCTTAAGCCCTTGACCCCCATTCCCCCCACCTCACCCCAAGCCCCAGGGAAAACCCATCCCATAGTCTCAGGGCTAACCCTCCCCTGCCTCCCTCCTTGGTCTTGGTCCTTTATGGGCGTCTGTCTGCGGAGATGCTCCGGATATGTATGGGCATCTGTTTTTTCAAACTGTTTCCCAGAATTCTCTTCTTCCTCCTCCTCGTTATTCACTTAACAACTAACTTCATCACTTAATGACAGATTCACTTAATGACTAACCACTGTAGTGATTCGCTTAAGAACTGTGGCAAAAATCTTGTAAAATGGGGCGCAATTCACTCAGATGTCTTGCTTAGCAATGGAAGTGTTTATTTTATTATTTTGTCTTGTTTTTTATTTTGTTATTTTAATTTTTAATTTTATTTTCTCTTGTTTTTTATTTTATGTTATTTTAATTTTTAATTTTATTCTTTTGTCATGTTTTTTATTTTGTTATTTTAATTTAATTTTTTATTTTATGTTATTTTTTATTTTAATCTTTTATTTATTTATTTTTAATTTTATGTTATTTTTTTATTTATTTTGTTTTATTTTTTATTTTATTTATCATTTTATTATTTGTAAAATGTATTTGCCACCCATTGTACCTCCGGCTAATGTTGTGCTCCCTTGCGGCCATAAGTCGAGGACTCCCTGCAGTTAAAGGGTGGGGGAGGCCAAGCGGGAAAGTCCGGGGCGCCAGCGTCTGCCCCCTCAGCCTCCATCCTCTGCCTGTTCTCCCTGCAGAGCGCCACAAGAACCGGAAGCCGCCGGAGGAAGAGCCGCCGCCAGCGCCCAGCGAAGAGTCCCCCGCGATGCGTGCCCAGGCCCAGGGCCAGCCCCATCCGCCCTGCAGCTGCAGAGCCAGCAGCTCCAGCCTGATCGGGGGCAGTGGGGCAGGCTGGGAGGGCACAGCCCTCCTGCACCACGGCAGCTACATCAAGCTGGGCTGCCTGCAGTTCGTCTTCAGCATCACGGAGTTTGCAACCAAACCTCCCAAGGTGGACGCCTCGGCCTTAGCCCAAGAGACGGACTTGGAGGAGAAGCTGTCCCCCAGGGGTCACCAGGCTCCCGTGCTCCGGTCCAATTCAGTGCCATAGGAGCCGTGGGGCGGCCCGGGGAGGGGTGGGGAGGAGAAGCCCCTCCCCTCTTCGCCCCTTGGATCAGAGACGCCTGTTCGTTTGACACAACCCCCGACCACGTCTGTCCGCATTTCTTTTCCCTTTTTTTCCTACGTGGGGGCTGCAGACTTTGGATGCCCTTTGCATGAAAATGAAGAACTTTTAATTTTTTTTTTTAATTTTTTTTTTTTTTTTAATGGTTTGCTCAAGTTTTAGGGGCATTTGCACATATATTTGTACTATACATTTCATTTAAAAGACAAAAAGCGAAAAAAAAAAAAAGGAAAAAGGAAACTGCCACGCGCGGAGGCTATGCTGGGTGGAGGGGGGCAGCCGGGGGTCGTAACCCCGTGGCCAGCGCTCCCTCGCCGTTGTAAAATAATCAAAAACTTGTTCTATTTTGTGCCAGTGACAATAGTTTTTATATTGAAAAAAAAAAAAAGAGAGAGAAATACAGTTTTCATACAGCAAAATCTATACAACTATCATTGTTTTATTTAATGTAAAGATGCGCTCTCCCCCACATGCCGGTTGGTTTTTTTTTCCCCTCCGTGCCCCCATCCTGTGCCTCTACCCCTCCTGCCCCCCACCCCTCCCCAGCCCTTCTGGGGCTGGGCTGGGCAGGGAGAGCCCAGGTCTCCTCCCCTGGCATCCTCCCCCCGCCCCCCAACAGCCTCCCATTTTCCGATGACGAGAAGTATTTTGGGCTCTGTGTAAATACATCGACTGATGGCATTTTTTTCAGTGTTTTTTAAAGCTGTGTACAGTGGTACATGTGGTATGACGTTGCCTCCGGTTGTCTTAATTGTAGCAAAGCGTTTTTTGTCGTAATCCTGTTTTTTCACCCTTCTGTTCCAATACTTTCCCCCACTCCACCCCCACCCCCACCCCACCTTCCACCCCCCAACCCCTCCATCCTGTTCTCTCAGCAGCTGAGTTCTAATGTACAGAAGTAATTGCTATGTTTTAGGCTTTACGGAAACTTTTTTCCTGTATTCTGTATATAAAACTACAAAATACGGCACTCGCTGGTGTCTGCCTGTCTGTCGAGACTCCCTATCAAAGGGCCACGAATCACTGCCACCCATCACCCACCCGTCAGATGGGATCGCTCCGGAGCACCCCTGCCCCACTCAGCCCTGGCTCCGTCACCATCTACCCCCTGGCATTCTTAGCGCCCAGATCTGGAGGGGATTCCGCTGTCTGTCCAGCGAGAGGGCTGGGTACTTCCACGCGACCCTTATTGACCACTGAAGATGGGACACCATGATGGAGTTTCCCTCAAGGGCATGTACACATTCCTTTCTTATGCCCAGGAACTCAAATGCTCTCCTCCTCCAGAGAGTGAGCCTGTTCCCAAGAAGCCGCCTGGCCAGAAGATCTTGGTTCCAAAGGGGCAACTCCAGGAGGACCAACATCTGTTTCTCCAGACCTAGAGTCCCTCAGCCTCATGGCACCAATTCTGATCCATCACCCAAGTCAAAAGTCCTGCACTGCTCCAGACTGGTACTTTGGTGGGGTTAGATATATCAGTGTTTCTCTGGGAGACACAACGCTGGGCCACCAAAACCTGGTAACAAGCCAGCTGGTGAGCAGATGAATCCCTTCCCTGCACGGATGACGTTACCTAATTTGGTCATGAAACGTCTACAAGAAAACCACCAAGCTCAAGAGAGCACCAAGGATTTCCCAGAATTCGAATTGGTAGAATAGTTGTACTTCAGGCTTGACCTGTGGCATCCACAACTTCTGAAGGCAAGCTGTTCCACTAGTTCAGGGGTATCGAACTCAAGGCCTGGGAACTGGAGCCAGGCCACAGGGTGCTTAGATCTGGCCCGCAGGGCCACCCTGGAAACAGCGGACAGGCCTGTGATGCCTTTGCCAGCAAAAACGGAGCTCGGGAGGGCCGCGCGTAGCCCACACGAGCTCCGTTTTTGCTGGCAGAGGGTTGCAGGAGGCCGTTGCAGCCGAAAATGGAGCTGCGGAACCCGTTTTTGCAAGCAGAGCACTTGGGCCACCACAGGGACCTTAGACATGAGTGACATCAAGCTGGCCACGCCCCCCCCAAGGTCAAATACAACCCTGATGTGGCCCTCGAATTTGACACCTCTGCACTACTTAATTGTCCTCACTGTTAGGAAATTTCTCCTTAGTTCCAGGTTGCTTCTCTCCTTGATTGGTTTCCATCGTTTCTTGTCCTGCCCTCAGGTGCTGTGGAGAATAAGTTGACCCCCTCTTCTTTGGAGCAGCCCCTCAAATACTGGAGCCCTGCTATCACGTCCCCCCTGGTCCTTCCTTTCTCTGGACTGCCCATATCCAACTCCTGGGACAAACTTTAGCCGAGAGGTGACAAGTCAAAACTTGGAGGAACCGGTCTCTAATTTAGACACTGGTCATTCGGAAACCTTTTCAAAGGTGGGAACACAATCAACCTGTCACGTGTGATAAGAGATCAAAAGAATGCGATGTATTCTTTGTTTCTGTTTTCCCTGTGGAAAGTGGGGCATGGGTGTGTAAGCACCTCATTTAAACTGGTCCCAAGAAGGGAATGGAAAAGGATGACGCGGTGTGCTTGGCTGTGTGTGTGTTACTAGAACCAATAATGAAGACGGCGGACTTTCTGACTGTGTCAAATCAAGTAAAAAATTATATCTGTAATCTAGACAAGGGGTTCCCAAACTGTGGCCCACTAGTGGCCCGTGAGGGGTTTGCGACCGGGCCGCGGAAACGGCTGGCGAGTGTGCGCGCTCTGCCGCACAACCTCACTTGCATAAGCAGCAGGCAAGCATGCACGCGTGTTCCATTTAAGTAAGCGGCAAGCCACGTGTGCACGCCACTCACACAAATGGAGCTGCGCGCACGCACTTGCCGGCTGCTCTCATGGATCCATCCCCTCCCCCACCCTCCCACCGGTCCACAAAGCCGGAAACATTGGGGGACTCTGATCTAGACATACATTTGTAATAGATGTTTTGTGTTTTGTATTTTTCTCTCTTGGCTGATAAAGGACGAGGCACAATTATCCTGAACGCAAAACGACTTCAATGCTACGAGCAGTTTTAAGGAAAAGGTAATCGACCGTCTGCAACAATTACTGAAGGGCAATGTCAATGACAAGCCACAGTAGAGGTACTCCTCGATTTACAACCATAATTAAGTCCAAAATTTCTGTTGCTAGGCGAGACACTTGTTAAGTGAGTTTTGCCCCGTTTTGAAACCTTTTTAAACCACAATTGTTAAATGAAGCACTGCTGTCATTAAGTAAGGAACATGATTGTTAAGTGAATCTGGCTTCCCCCCCCCTCCCCCACAACTTGGCTTCTCGGAAGGACGCAAAAGTGAGTCACATTGCCCCGGGACCCTGGAACCGTCATAAACCATGGCTTTGGGGTGAAGTACCATCAGATGACACCCAGCTGTACATCTCCACCCCAGGCCACCCCAACGATGCCCTTGAAGTGATGTCCCAGTGCCTGGAGGCTGTGCAGGTCTGGATGGGGAGGAACAGGCTCAAGCTCAACCCTTCCAAGACTGAGTGGCTGTGGCTCCCGGCATCCCGATAGAGTCAGTTGACCCCATCACTGACTATTGGGGGCGAGTCTTTGGCCCCCACAGAAGGAGCTCGCAATCTGGGAGTCCTGGATACGCAGCTGTCCTTGGAGGAGCATCTGACGGCTGTTGCCAGGGGGACCTTCTGTCAGGTTCGCCTGATTCGCCAGTTGCGGCCCTTTCTTGATCGGGATTCCCTGTGCACAGTCACTCACGCCCTTGTCACCTCTCGCCTGGACTACTGCAATGCTCTCTACATGGGGCTCCCCTTGAAGAGCACCCGGAGGCTCCAGTTGGTCCAGAATGCAGCCACGCGGGTAGTCACGGGAGCCGCATGGTGCTCCCATTCAACGCCTCTCCTGCGTGAGCTGCACTGGCTCCCAGTGGTCTTCCGGGTGCGCTTCAAGGTGTTGGTTATCACCTTTAAAGCGCTCCATGGCATAGGGCCTAGTTATTTCCCCCCGGAGATACGGACGATCCCGGATCTGCGCACCTTCCACCGTGCTCTTAAGACCCTCTTATTCCAGCAAGTCGGCCTGGCCTAATTTTTCTCCCCTTTTTAAATTTTAAATTGAAATTTTAATTTGTTTTAAATTTATTGGGGTTTTAATTGTCATGGGCCAAATTTATTTAATTTGGTTTTAAATTGATTTTTAACTTTTGTATTTCTGTATTTTATCCTGTGCCTGTTCACCGCCCTGAGTCCTTCGGGAGTAGGGTGGTATACAAATTTAATAAAACCTAAACCTAAAACCTAAACCTATCTTCGAGACCGCCTGCTGCTACCGATGACCTCCCAGCAATCCGTGCGCTCCCACAGAGAGGGCCTCCTCGGGGTGCCATCAGCCAAACAATGTAGGCTGGTGACCCCCAGGGGGAGGGCCTTCTCTGTGGGGGCACCTACCCTCTGGAATCAGCTGCCCCCAGAGATAAGGAGAATCCAAGACCTCAGTGCCTTCCGCCGTGCCCTTAAAACCCACTTTTTCCAGCAAGCCGGGCTGGCTTAGGAAGAAATTTTTTAAATGTTTTAATTGGTTTGTGATTTTTAATTTTGGGGCCAAATTTATATATATCTTTTTAATTGTATTTTAATGTTTGTAGTTTATGTTTTTACTTGGCTGTTCACCACCCTGAGTCCTCAGGGAGAAGGGCGGTATACAAATTTAAAAATAAATAAATAAATAAATAATAAATAAATAAATAAATAAATAATAAATAAATAAATAAATAAATAAGTATGTATGTATGTATGTATGTATGTATGTATGTATGTATGTGAGCCAATTGCCAAGCATCTCAATTTTGACCTGGGGATGCTGCGACTGTTGTAAATGTGAGAAACAGTCCCCTTTCCCCCCCCTTTTTTTTTTGTCCCCCTTTTTTCAGTGCCATTGCGACTTTGAATAGTCGCTAAATGAACTGTTGTAAGTCGAGGACTGCCTGTACAGCCTTTACCCTGGGGAAGCCACTCCCTGAAATCCACGAAGAGGAAACTCCACTAGGGCCAACGTTCAGCAGGATCAAATCGGTCACTTACAACATTGCAAAACATCCAACCTCCTCATTAGCTCCTGTGTTGACGACATCCATTCCACGAAAAGCCCACAGCAAGGTATGGGAACTATATCTGCATCTGGATGTGCCAATGTGTTTCTTGTCATGTCGCTCCAATCTTCACCTACATTCCAACAACTGAAGCTGTTTACACTGTAGTGAAGAAATGACTGCTATGGAATCACAAGGTAACACAACTAACCTCAGCCCGGCCCACAAATGTACCACACTGGAACTAAGGAGAGGTTTCCTAACATTGAAAGCAACCAGTCGAACCAGAAGTTGCCTCCAGAAGTTGTGGGTGTGACATCACTGGAGGTTTTCAAGAAAGTCCAGAATGGTCTAGAGCAGGGGTCTGCAACCTTAAACACTCAAAGAGCCATTTGGACCCGTTTCCCACAGAAAAGAAAACACCGGGAGCCACAAAACCCTTCCCGTGCCTGACTATTTCTTGAGCGGCCACAAAACTAGCATATGTAGTTGAATTAAATGTTCCGTTTTCTTCTGAAACTTTTCTTTTCTTGGATTTATCCATGGTTGGCCTACCAGAGGGTTGAAAAAGCTCAATAAATCACGTGCCAGTGGGTGTCGCACATTGGCGGTTGTGACGCATATTTTGAGTGACAGCGCAGCAGAGGGGTGAAAGAGCCACATGCGGCTCCAGTGTCGCAGGTTGCTGACCGTGGACTCTAGGGCCTCCTGCTTGAGCAGGTGATTTGACTAGAAGACCTCCAAGGTCCCTTCCAACTCTGGTATTCTGTTATAGACTCTTGGTGACACTCTTGTACCACTTCTTTTGAGTTGTCCCATGCTCCAGCTGATATCGGCTTTGATGGTGTCCAGTTGCCGTGTTCTTTGGCGGCCTGGTTTCCTTTGACCGCTCACTCTTCCATCATTGTTTTTCTCCGGTGAATTCCCCCC